TGAGCGAAGGTTTCGGCCACAAGCAGAGGGAAGACCAGGGTAGCATCAGCATACACCTTGACTGGCTGTGCATCCATCCGGATCTTGCCCCAAGAGACAGCTTCATCTGGCCGGGCACCTGAATCCGAGCCATCAAACTCCTGGGCCGTGTTGATATAGACGGCATAGTCGGCCCCATTCCTCATGAGGTTAGCGTTGGCAATGTGGTGCTTGACCATGCCTCCACCCAGGATGATCATCCCAGAGCACTTGGCAAAGATGGCCTGCATGTTGATGAACCGCAGGTCCTCAACGATGTCGAGGACCAAGCCAGGATTCTTGTAGGAATGGAAGAAGCTCCTGTCGTCCAAGGAGCCATCCGTGAGTGCAGGGCTCAGCAACAGGAATATTGTTCTTCTGGGCCCAATAATACACTGACTCTGGGTTGTTGATCTCCTTGCCAAGCCTGGCAATCATCTTGGAAGGTGTCCACTCGACATGCTTGGTGTTCTGCTCCAGCACCATCTGGTCCAGAATGGGCATCAGCCAGTCCTCAAACTTGCAGTAATTGTCATTGGGCACCAGCAGGTTCCCTATCCTGTTAATCCCATTCTCCCAGAGCTCCTTCCCCTTGAGGCTGAACTCCCCAAGGTATGTGGGTGCCAAGCACTTGATGAAGTCTTCCTCTACACCTCCAGCAGTGGTCACCAATACGTCCACCATATTGTGCTGCACGAGGTAGCGAATGGTCTCCCGGAGGCCGGAACTGATGAGGTTGGATGTGTAGCCTAGGAAAATAGTGCAGCCCGTGAGTGGCCGGCTGCTCTGTGTCAGGTCTGCGTGGTGGTCTTCATCCTCTGCTAGCGGCTCCAGTTTCTTCTCAATCATGGCGTTGACTTGCTGCACCGCCCGCCCAAAGTTGGTGGCCTGGAAGCCCGTGGTACCAAAGGCCTCCAGAAGTGCGCGGTAATCCACCCCAGGGCTGAAGTCGTAACCCCGAACCTGGGCGCTCTCCAGCGGCAACTCGGAGCTGTGCTTGAGCACCGAGGCCAGTGCTACAGCGGGTGCAGCCCCCTGCGAGTTACCGGGAGAGGCCCCCTGCAACGCTCTCTCCGTGGCCCCCTCCATGCGCCGGTGTTTGGGCGCTCAGGTCGCAGCCACGAGGGTCGGGGCCACGGCAGCCCCGGAACCGCTGAACCCCGACACGCGGGCCTATGCCGGAGCACAGGAAGAGAGACTCCGCTCTTGGTTTTTAAGATCATCTGGGCTCTTATTTTAAGATGCACCAAGATAGCAAAAAACATACTGCCAAACTATGACATGTTCAGAAAATCTTTCCTATTCAACAGAATGTTAAATAAGTGAGAGAGAAATGTATTTCACACAATTGATGAAGTACACATAGATCTTAACTCACTCTGGACTGCATAATGCTTTGACTTCTATTTCTAGTTTTCTGGGGCTTTGGGGGGGGGGGGACAGGGTTTCATGCATAGCCTAGGCTGACCTCAAACTCAAGGTCCTCCTGCCTCAGACTACCAGTGCCAGGGGCTGGAATCACTAAGTGTACCACCACTCAGAGCTTTTCTGTTTTCCTTTTTTCTTTTTAAAAATTTTATTTTTAAGTTTATGTCCACATATGTGCAGGTGCCTACTGAGGCCAGTAGAAGGTGTAAGAGCCTTTGGAACTGGAGTTACAGGCATTTGTGAGCTACCTTATATGGATGCTGGGAACCAAACCCAGGTCCTCTGCAGGAGCAGCAAGTGCTTTTAACCACTGAGCTGTCTCTCCAGACCCAGTTTTCTTCTTAAGGGGCATTGATAACTTGTCAAGTCTTGAAAGGTGGATGGCCATATTTTGGTGTGTTTTAATAGAAAATATAGATCTTTGTGAAAGTGTTGAACTTCCCAGGAATGGAAATTTTCAAGTGGCTCTCAGATCACCATGATCAGCATTACCTGGAAACGTTGGGCCTGCACCTGTCAGACCTAGCCGACCTGCTCTCTCCACGTGATTCTGATTCTCACTGAAGCCCGAGAACCACTCATCTAAGAGCTGTTACCTGGTCACTTGGTTCCTAAAGTGAAGTAAAAAAAAAAAAAAAAGAGAGAGAGAAACTTAGAAGAAACTGTATTTTTTAAAGATTTATTTTATTTTTAATAATGTGTGTATATGTGCACATGCCGGTGGAGGCTGGAAGAGGGTGTTGGATCCCCTGAAGCTGGAGTTGCAGCCAGTTGTGAGCTACCAGATCTGGGTGTTGGGAACAGAACTCCAGTCCTCTGCAAGAATAGCAAGCGCTTTTAAATAACTTGCAAGCCAGTTCTCCATTCCCATGTATTTCTTTTATAGTATTTCCCTAGGGCTCTTCATAACATTTATCCTCTATGTCATTTTCTTTACATTTTGGTCTTGTGCATGTATGTACCGGTACAGTTTTCGAGGCAGGATCTCTCTAGATAGCTTTGGCTGACCTGGAACTCCCTATGCTGGCTAGGCTGTTGTCGATTTGCCCACATCTTCCTGCTTCCGTGCTGGGATTGCTGAGTTCCCACCATACCTGGCTCACAGTTAAGCCTTTGTAGAGCTATTTTCTTGACAAAATTACAAGAAAATGTTTTACTGGCTCAAGTCTTTGTTTTCATAAATCAGCTGGCTTAGAGCCAAGTGGTGCACTGTGGAGGCAGCATGAAAATTCTTCCAGCTCTTAAATGTTTTAGGGTTGGTCAGATTAAGAAAACAATAATTTCTTTGATATTTTTTGCCCTTTCATTCCATATTTCCCATAGGTTACGAGTACTTGATTTTGGTGTCCCTAATAAAACTGTGCATGTTTTCTAAATAATTTAACTGAAATTAGGGCTAAAAAAAGAAACATGTTTTTGACTATTGCATAAATAAACGTGATTTTTTTTTTTTTTTTTTTGCCAGTTCAGAATTAGGTGACTGTAACAAACTTGAAATAAAGCCTTGAGGTAAAATTGAATAAAACTTTTTTTTTTTTTTCTGAGGCAAGAGTCTGGGTAATGTAGTATAGGCTGGTCTCAGATTTGAGCTTCTGCCTCAGCCTCGTTGGCTTAAAACTTTTTAAAATTTATCTTATGTGTATAAGTGTATTGCCTGCATGTGTGTAAGTGCTCCCGTGTCATGCCAATGCCCAGGGAGGTCAGAAGAAGGTGTCAGATTCCCTTGGAACTGGAGTTATGGATGGTTGTCAGCACCATGTGGATGCTGAGAATCGAACCCGGGTCCTCTATAAGAGCAAAATCAGTGCTCTTAACCACCAAGCCATCGCTCTGTCCCAAAACTTTTTTTTTTTCAAAAAAAGGAAAGCCTGATTTTATTTGACAATTTGGCAGGAAACTTAGTTTTACTTGATTTTTGGAGCTTTGCCTTGAATATACAGAATTCAAATTATTTCTTAACTAGTGGTTTTTAATTTCTGTGAACAAGGAATATTTCATGATAGCACAGATCAATTAAAAATATTTTTTCCTTTCTATTTATTAGTCATAACTATTACCTAGGTGAACCTAGTGTTAACTCAGGAACATTTATCAGTGTGTTCAAATTTAGACTGTTTTAAGGACAAAATCTGTTTTTTGTTGTTTATTTGAGACAGGGTCTTCTTGTAGTCGCAGCTTGCCTGACACAATGTAGATCAAGCGGGCCTCAGTCTCACAAAGATCTCCCTGCCTCTGCTTCCTGAGTGCTGGAATTACATATATGTGCCCCACACCTACCTGGCTAATTTTACTTTTCTTAATTGTGTATGTGGGGTGGGGTGCGGGTTATGTGCAGGTACTCACAGAGGCCAGAAGAGAGCATCAGATCCATCACAGACAACTGTGAGTCACCCAGTATGAACCGAACTTAGGTCTTCTGCAAGAGAAATACTCCTAACTGCTGAGCTGTTTCCCGCTCCAAAGGGAGATTATTAAAATTTTATTAAGTGATACAGTTGTTGATGCAGTTTGGTTAATTCATCTAACTTTAAAGGTGGCTTTTAGGAATGTGATGTGAATGAAAAAAAAAATACTTAGGATTTCAGGTGCTTAGTAAACACAATAGTGGTGACTCATATCTTTGGGAGAATCTTTTTCAAAGCCAGTAATTGGGACTTTCTTCCCTTTTACCTTTTAGGAGGAAGTAAACATCCCTAACAGGAGGGTTCTGGTTACGGGTGCCACTGGGCTTCTTGGCAGAGCGGTGTATAAAGAATTTCAGCAAAATAATTGGCATGCCATTGGCTGTGGCTTTCGAAGAGCAAGACCAAAGTTTGAACAGGTCAATCTACTGGATTTGGAAGCAGTTCATCACCTCATTCATGATTTTCAGGTATGGGTTCATCTACTTAAGCTATACATGTTCTGTTGAGAATTGTCTGGATCATACAGAGAATGTACTTGTTAAGGAAGTTATTGTACTTGAAAGCAGTAACATATTAAGCAGCAACAACATAGACTGCATTTTTGTTTTCATGGTACAAGGGATGGATCCGGGGCTTCCTGCATGCTGGGCACCTAGGGTTCTGGCACAGAGCTATATCCCTGTTCCTTCCTTTCCCTGTCCCACAATGTCTTTTAACATGGCAAAACTTGTTTCTATGTAGTGCTTTCTAATAGTACTTGCTATACAAATGTTTTGGGGATGGTATCTGGAAACTGAAATTATTTCAACTTTAAAACTGAGAAAGTAGGGTTAGAGGGATTTAAATAACTTGTTTGTCATGATCCAAGAAAAGTTAAAAAAATCTAGGTTTTGTTCCACTTGTCATCAAGTTTTAGTTTAGATTCTTTCTAAAAGTATTATTTATCTAAGGTACATCTGTAGTAGAAACACTTAAAGAGCCTTGATTTCAGGCTTTATGCCCAGAGAATGTAACTCAGTAAATCTGATGGGGCCAGGGTGCTTCACGTGAGAAACATCCCAGATTATGCCTCCTTAAGTATTGTTAAGGAGAAAGCTGGGTGTGCGGGCACATCGGTTCCTTACACACGTCACCTCTTGCCTTTCCTCTTGCAGCAAGGTGGCTTTCCTCTCTAGAAGGGCTGCATTCCTCCATCTCAGGGTCTGATACTGAAACAGTTCTTTAAATGTGTCTCTTCCCCTGGAACATGAAGCCCTTGCTTTTCCCATAGTACTTGCTGGTGTCTCATTGTTGCAAACTAAATAGATATTCAAGAGGGCACACAACTTTGTGGATAGTTGATTCTTGTTAAACGATTATTCAGAAAGATTTGAATTTATGAATTTAACTTGGAACTGATATTACTTGCCTTTTGTCATAAATTTATGAAACGTTTTAGCCTGGGGATGTAGCTTTGTGGTCGAACACTTGCCTAGCATGTGTAAGACCTGGAATTTGATAAGTAAAACAAAAAGTCATGTTAATTATGTAAATGGCAACTCTTCTACCACGTTGGGATAGGAACTTTATTTTGATTAGAAATAAGTTAATAGTTGTTTATAGAATTTTTGTCTAGAAGTTAACAACTTGTTCTTTCCTGAGCTTAGGGATATAGCTCAGTGGTCAAATGCTTGCCTAGCATGTACAGCATCCTAGATTTGATCCCCAGCCCTACAAAAAACCCTCCTCAGCAACAACAAAATAAATTGCTCTTTTCAGAGCATGAGCTTATATTTTGAGGAAGTTGGAGCTTTGAGGAGGGAAAAAGGAAGCATGGCAAAAAACGATATTAAAAATTAAATGGTGTATTCTTAATTGAAGGAATGCTGATTTAAGAAACTTTTTTTTTCCCTCTGAATTTACTCTATGAGCCATAATTGTTTTTCTCCAATTTGGGTTAAAACTTAGTGCTTAATTTTCAGCCTCATGTCATAGTACATTGTGCAGCAGAGAGAAGACCAGATGTTGTAGAGAGTCAGCCAGATGCCGCTTCTCAGCTCAACGTCAATGCCTCTGGGAATTTAGCAAAGGAAGCAGGTAATGACGACTCCGGAATCTCCATAAAATGCTACAGCATCACTGGTATTTTATGATAATCTTGAAAGGTGAAAGTTTTGTAGATTTCTTGTGTGGTTTTGTATATCTCACAGAACAAGAGCATTCCAAATTCCAGGAGAAAGTAATGTCGAGGATTTGTCCTTTCTTTTGGTAGCTGCAGTTGGAGCATTTCTCATTTACATTAGCTCGGATTATGTATTTGATGGAACAAGTCCACCTTACACAGAAGAAGACATGCCAAGTCCCCTCAATTTGTATGGGAAAACAAAATTAGAAGGAGAAAAGGCAGTTCTGGAGAATAATTTAGGTAAGATATAGTTTCTTTTGCTCCTGATTATTGTTTTTTTTTAAATTTAAATTTTTATTTCGTGTGTGTGTTTTTCCTGCATGCAAGAGGGCGTCGGATCCCCTGGAACTGGAGTTACATACATGTTAGCGGCCATGTGGGTACTGGGAATTGAACCTGGGTCCTCTGCTAGAACAGTCAGTGCTCCTAATCGCTGAGCCATCTCTCCAGCCCCTATTTGTCTTTGAAGACTGTTTTGTTGTTGTTTTTATAAGAATATGTTCTTAATTAAAAAAAAAAGTCCGGAATGCTGAGGTGATAGTGCCCGCCTGAACTCCAGCACACAGGGAAGCTTGGGCGGGAGGATTGCGTGTTTAAGGCCAGTCTGGGGTCTAAAGAAGTCTTGACTCAAAAAAGTGGGGGGAAGGGACAAGGCATATAAATCATTAGAAATGAGAGGTTATTGGCTGGTGAGATGGCTCAGTAGGTAAAAGTGCTTGCCACCTAGCCTGCCAACCTGAGTTCAGTCCCCAAGACCTGCATGGCGGAAGGAGAGAACCGGCTCTTGTCGGTTGTTCCCTGACCTGCACATGTGCACCCCTGACATACAAATAAATGATAGGTTTTTAAAGAAGAAATTAGAGAATGTAGCTACTGCAAAGGAAAAACGAGCATTTGGCAATTCTAAAGAATAGCTACTTTGTGAATCCTAGGCTTGCTCCAGTAAAGTGCTCATTTTATAACATTTGAAATGGCTGGGCAGTATCGTTTCTTTTGGGTTGAAGTTTTCTGTTAGAATGAGGTTTCTATTACATGAGTTTTCTTTTTTCCTATATTGTGTATTTAGGTATACATACATATTGGCATATATAAGGAGCATAACTTTGGAAAAAAATTAAAAAGATTTAAAGCTAGAAGAATGAAATCTCCTATGTGCCAACTCCTCAGACAGGCATGAAATGTTTCTTACAGGAGGTATTTTTGTGCATTTAAGAAAAAAAAAAAAAACCTGCATTTTGTTTTTTAATGTGTTTTTCTTCTGCATCGTCGCGTGACCATACACGTGGCAGTGGCTCTGATGAGCTGCTGCTTGTCGGTGGCAGCATCACGCTGAGCTTAATGATTCCTGTGCTAGGACTGATGCTGACAGCCATGCTGTACCTCCAGAAGCAGCCCCTGGGGTCTGAGTCCCTAGTCAGGAGCATGTAATTTATCAAGGGTTTTTTTTTTTTTTTTTTTTTTTTTTTTTTTTTTTTACTGGAAATTATCCTCCGATCCTGGGTGGGGGGGCCCATGCCTTTACTCCCAGCACTTGGGAGGCAGAGGCAGGAGGATCTCTGTGAGTTCAAGGCCAGTCTGGTCTACATAGTGAGTTCCAGGCCAGCTAGGGCTACAGGGAAATGCTGTCTCATAAAAACTCCTCAGGTGAGGGTGTAGCTTAGTGGTAGAGTGCTTCCTGAGTGTACATAAGGCCGAGTGTTCTTTCCAGCACTTCCAAACTAATTAAACTGACTAATTAAATAAATAAAGAAAACTGCAAAAATCCTCCTAGACTCCCTTCCTCTCTTAGTCTGTTTCACACTGCTGTAACGGAATGTACACAGGGTGTCATCCCAAAGAACTGAATTTCTTTCCCATCATTCTGGAAGCTGGGAAGTCAAAGATCCAAGTGCCAGTCCTCGCAGAGCAGAAGAGTCGGCCTGGACTGAGCCTCCTCAAGCTCTTTCCTCATGTCATTCATCACTTGAGGGGAAGCTCAGCACTGATGTAGCAACCCCTATCGAACATATAGCCCATTGTCCCACTTGTCCCTAAATCTTAATACTATTGTTTTTAAAATTTGGATTCTAGTCAGTATTCATTTTATTTGTCACGAGAGGCTTTATTTTTAATGATCACGATGCACAAATTAGATAGAAAAATACTCCTTGACAGTAAATACTTAAAAATATTCACGTTTACCTTTAAGTTGATGTGATTATAGTTACTCTGTGGGTTTTTGTTTCCCTTTCTTTTTTCTTTTCTCTTGGGATTGAGCTCAGTAGGCAAATATTTTACTACTGAGCTACATCCCCTTCCTGGTATATATTTTTATTAAAAGGCAGGATTGCTCGTTTGATGTGGGAAAGCACACACTTTCTCTTTACATTCACACTTGGGAAAGAACAGCTGTGACATCTCTACGTGTGCTCATCTCTAGGAGCTGCTGTTTTGAGAATTCCTCTTCTGTATGGGGAAGTTGAGAAGCTGGAGGAAAGTGCTGTGACCGTCATGTTCGACAAGGTACAGTTCAGCAACAAGTCGGCCAACATGGACCACTGGCAGCAGAGGTTTCCCACACACGTCAAAGACGTTGCCAGTGTGTGCCGACAGCTGGCAGAGAAGAGGATGCTGGTGAGGCTTGGCAGGGTTGGGTTCTGACTTCCGTTGACCTGCTTGAAATCCATACGGATACATGGAGTACTACAGACTGACAGTTAATAGCACTTTTTGAGCTAGGAATCCAAACAAAAGCAGTTTATACATAGTAAGGCTATACTGAGGAAGAATGAGAATATGCCAGGCATGGTGACACATGGACCTGTAATCTTAGCAATTAAGAGAAAGAGGCAAGAAGATTTCTGTGAGTTCAATACCAGCCTGGGCTGAGTAGTAATACCCTGTCCCCAAACAAAAGCTGAAAATTTCTTTTTTGGTCTTTTTGAGACGGGGTCTCCCTGTAGCCCCAGCTGTCCTGGAACTCACTTTGTAGACCAAGCAGACCTTGAACTCCCAGATATCCGCCGGCCTCTGCCCCCCGAGTTCTGGGACTAAAGGTGTGCACCACCATGCCCAGCTCAAAAGTTGAAATATTATACTGTGTTTTATTTCTTGCATACTATAGTTCCCATTTTTTTTTTAATTGATCTGTAGGTAACAAAAAAAATCACTTATGTTTTAAGAGGCTTCTCTAACAAGAGAAGCTATTTAAGTTACATATAATGATAAAAATCTGATAGAAGGGCTGGAGAGATGACTCAGCAGATAAGAGCACTGACTGCTCTTGCAGAGGACCTGGGTTCAATTGCCAGCACCCACCTGGCAGCTAAAAACCATCTGTAACTGCAGTTCCAGGGGATCCGATGCCACCTTCTGACCTCCTTAGGTGTTGCGCAACACGGGTACACTTACACAGATGCAGGAAATACATTTATACACATAAAATAAAAATAAATATTTAAAAAATAATCTGAGTAGGAATTTACTTTTCTTTTAGGGAGTTCTTTTTAGATGCTTGAGTAGGAATTAATTTTAAACATTTGGGAAAGTTGGCACTGAAAGAACATCTGTAAGAAGTTTAGGAACTGATATAGAGTATTATATATAAAACTTACACTTAAGGGGATTAGTATAATGGGGATTTAGCTCAGTGGTAGAGTACTTGCCTCACAAGTACAAGGCCCTGGGTTTGGTCCTTACCTCTGGAAAAACAAGACAAAGTCTCTCTCTCTCTCTCTCTCTCTCTCTCTCTCTCTCTCTCTCTCACACACACACACACACACACGCACGCACACGAAAAAAAGGAAAAAAATGATATTTACATATGGGAGAAATAATGGGGCACACAAGAGAAGGGGTTTAGGGGAGGACTTGGCAGGTAAGAGCTCCTGCTGCGTAAGCGTGAGGGTCTGAGTTCACACATCCAGAGCCCACTTACAAGCATCTGTACTCAATGCACCCCTAGTGGCATATGGGAGTGAGAGACAGGAGAATTGCCAGAAAATCATTGGCCAGCCAACAAAGAACCCCTGTCTGAAACAAGGTGCATGGGAAGGACCAACATCAGAAGTTATCCTCCGACCTCCTCACAAGTTCTGTGGCATATGGAGCCATATTCACACACATAGGAATGTTGCACGTAAGCACATGCAAAGTTAATTCCGCTACATAAGGACCTTTTGAAGAAAAAAATCTCAGTAAGCAACATTGAATATTAATATTATATCATGACAGTGTTTCAGAATGTTTAACCAGTAAGTTCACTCACTGTGTAGACCAGGCTGGCCTGGAACTCAAAAGAGATCTGCCTGCCTCTGCCTCCCAAGTGCAGGGATTAAACACATGTGCCACCATGTGTGGCTGTTTTACTTTTTGAGAGAGGGCCTGCTTCTGTCCTCCATGTTGCCTTTGAATTCTTACGTGTAGCTCAGTCTCCTTTTTCTTCACCGTTACCTTCTTTGGTAGGATCGGTAGGATTCCAGGTGTGTGTCATATGCCTGTCTCCTTTATTTTGGAATGCTTTTACAGCTTGGCTTGATGGTGCACACCTGCAATTCAGGCACTTGAGAGACAGAGGCAGGAAAATCATTATGAGTTCCAGGCTAGCTCAGTCTACATAGTGGCTTCTAGGCCAAGCTAGGGCAACATAACAAAACCCTACCTCATATAAATAAAACAAACAAACAAAAAACCCATGAGGCTGTGGATGTAACTCAGTTGGTAGGATGCTTGCCTAACATACACAAGGCCTGTGTTTAGTACTAGCACTCTGTAAACTAGGCATGGTGGTGCCTGCCTAGCCCTGTACTTTTGATTTTAGCTTCTTAGGATAAATGAAAATGTTCATTAAATGGGACTGTGTCTCTATAAAAGTCTGATCACTTTTATGGCTCCCACTACTTGAATAAAATTGGAGCCATCTTTATTTTTATTTCAAAGAATTCTTAAGGCTAAATTTTAGAAATTGTTTTTTATATGGGAATATTTCTGGGCATTCGATTTTAGATGTTTTGTAGGGACAAGGAAGTTTTCATTTTGGTTTGTGAATCTTTTGGGGGTTTTTTGGTCTTTTTTGAGACAGGGTCTCCCTGTAGCTCCAGCTGTCCTGGAACTCGCTATGTAGACCAGGCCGAGATCCACCTGCCTCTGCCTCCTGAGTGCTGAGATTAAAGGTGTGCACCACCACGCCCGGCTTAGTTTGTGAATCTTTAAAATGAGCTTTCTTGTCAAAATCTTACCATTCTATGGAACTAAAAAAAAAATAATCTGATATATTTTTTTTTTCTTTCTTTCTCTCTTTATTGTTAGGATCCATCCATTAAGGGAACCTTTCACTGGTCTGGCAATGAACAGATGACCAAGTACGAAATGGCGTGTGCGATTGCAGATGCCTTCAACCTTCCCAGCAGTCACTTAAGACCTGTAAGTCTGTTTGACACCTCCTGGATTTTTAATGCATGTGTGCTATTGATAACTTTTCTTTTTAAATAACTCTTTTATGTTGGATAATCATTTTTCAGTAGTAACTGAAGTGAACTTGGCCTTGGATCTTGGCAGTATCTGGTGGTAAATTATCTGTAATAGAAGTCCCTGCATACTGTGAAATTTGCAGAGAAAGTACAGCGTTGCACTACATGGCATAGCCTGCCGCCAAACGGACAGCCTGGGTTCAGTTCCTAGGACCCATGTGGTGGAAGGAGAGAACATACTCCCACGCCATCTTCTGAGCTCCACGCACACTCGCCTTGACGAGCATGTATGCACAAGTGTGCACACACAAAACTAAAAAGATAGAAAAAGAATACTGTCTAGATGGTAGCATGTTAGTTTTCTAGGAATGATAAAATCTGGTTTTTTGCACTAAGGGAAAGATGAAATAAAGAGTATCAAGCTTTAGGATGTCAGCTTTCATTTACTCGTGATTTGGTTTTGTTTTTCTTTCAAGATTACTGACAGCCCAGTCATAGGAGCACAACGCCCCAAAAATGCTCAGCTTGACTGTTCCAAATTGGAGACCTTGGGCATTGGCCAGCGGACACCGTTTCGAATTGGAATCAAGGAATCACTCTGGCCTTTCCTCATTGACAAGAGATGGAGGCAAACCGTCTTTCATTAGTTTGTGTTGTGTGTGTTTTTTAATGAGAAGTATAGTACATGCACTTTTTCAAGAATAAAGGAACTAGTTTTGTATGAGTACTCCTTAATTGTGACTCACGATATTTGAGGTGAACGATGCTCTTGCACTAGGGGGATTGTGTGAACAAAGGGTGGTGATGCCTTGTTTGCAGTCATCATTTTTCTGTTGATCATTTTGTTCTGACTTGCCTTGCAGCTCAAGTAATGTATGATGATTCCTAATGTCCAAAAGCCAGTATGAAACAGATCTGTTGTAGACTTATTTTGGAGGCAATGCATTGTCTGATCCTTTATTGTCTGTGTTTTTTTTTGTTTGTTTGTTTCTTTCAGCTGTTGACGTGTAGGCCGATTGTTTTAACATGTGTGGAGTCATATGAAAATCATCAATGTTCATTATTTGCTTTGCTTGAGCCCAGATCAAAATGCTTAAAGAAAGAAACTTTATTTTTGCAACTTCAGTATGATTTTTATGCTTGATTCTTCAGCGTGTTTTATATATATATATATATATATATATCAGAACTGTACTGCCTGGCGCTTCCTTCCTAGCACTGTGTGGCAAACACTTTGAGAGAGTGTGTGTATGTGTATTTTTTTAATATAAATACATAACTGTCTCTTTCACTCCATGTCACAAAGTGATATTTCATACATGTGGTTACAGTAATGAGCCTTGTAAGTCTTTGTTGACCACCCTGAATAATAAATACATATTGCTGGCATGTAACTCTGGTTTTCTTGTGCTTGCTTCCCTTTTAGAATGAAAGAGCTCTAAACTGATTCTTTTCTTTTCTTTTTAAAATTACATTCCTTTCTCAATATCTGTTATGTGCAAAAATACTTGAACAAACACATTGTGTAAAGTACAAGTAAGTGGACCTTGATGATCCCACCACTTGAGATCTAGAAGCTTCTACTTGTACCAACTATTAGACATAACTCCATAATCTTGCTCTGTTTTATACTTAGAAGGATGTGGAGTCAGGGTGTCTCATCTGAACTGTGTCATTTTAATTTCGGCCTCAACGGTCTCTCGGGTCCTTAATTACAGATTGTGTTGACTTGGGTGTTTTGCCTTTTTCTATTCAGCAGTTACTGCAGATATTCTGATATCATTTGGGGGAGTATTTCTCAGGGTAAGGTGCTGTTTCCTAATTAGAGATAAAATATTTTCTAACTTTTTAAAGTTTATCTAGAATTTGAGGATTAGAGTGGATCAGATTTGGGAAATTTGGTTCGATCAGCAGTCCCCAGACCACATTATGTTTTGGAATGAACAGAGAAAAACTTAGGTTTATTATTATTTGTGTGTGTGTGTTTGTATATATCTGTGTACATGTGTGCAGGTATCCATGGATGCCAGAGGTGTCAGAGCCTCTGGAACTTGAGTTACAGGTGGTTATGAGCCACCATGTGGGTGTTGGGAACAAAACTCTGGCTCATAACCACTGAATTATCTCCCTAGCCCCAGGAAAAATTTTTGATACTGTTTTAACCCTGGGCTGGCCCACGGAAATAATGGAGAAGTTGAGACAATGCTAGCTGGGCATGATGGTACATGTCTTTTTCCAGCACTCCAGAGGCCTAGGCAGGAGGACTACTGTGAGTTCAAGGCAGCCTGGGCTGCACACCAAGGATCTATCTCAGAAAAACAAAAGTGAAGGTGAGCCCTGCTGATGTATTGCGATCCATCTGGGTGCTGCCAAGGCAACCAGCGTGGCTGTTGCATTTGACTACCACTTAATTTAAAACACATTTTTTTTTTCCAATTACTGCATTTCATATAGTACACAGTTAAAAATTTGGGGCATGGACTGCTGTACTGCTGTTTTCTCTAGCCGTTTTACATCTAGACAGCAGTGTAAATAGTTGCTTGCATGTGTTTCTAGGACTTTGCCTATATAGAAGATGGCATGTGTGCTTTCCTCGCTCCACCCTTTGTTTACAGAGTGCACAGTGCACATTTTTTAGTTTTTGAGTTTGACTTGCTGTGTAACCCAGGCCAATCTCAAACTTAACAATCCACCTGCATTACCCTCCCTAATGCTGGGATTACTGGTGTGTCACAGCAATGAGAAAGTACACACGTATCCTGTGACTCAAGGACCCCCCCACTATTGTCCTGCTTCCTAAAAATATCCCACCTCAGAATAGTGCCACCTTGTGGTCAGAAGCTTCAGCATACTGCATTTGGGGAATAATTAACATCTAAACTACAACAGCAAGGTATTTGTGCTTTCTGAGTTTCTAGTCCTGTGAGGGTTAAATGGAAGGACTATCATCTTGTCTCACAAGTCTTGGAGAAAGAGCTGGGACACAGGTATTTGCAGGTAGCTTGGGCTTATTAAGCGATTTTGGGTGAGATGTGTGCTTATCACCACTGATTTTACCTTCCTTCAGTTTTAGCCATGACAGTATATAATATAACCACCAGCGTTTTTATTTTTGTGTGTGATTTGAACATTTCCTGAAAAAAAGAGGTGTGTTTGGGAATAGGAGACTGGAGAGATGGCTCAGTAGTTGAGAGCACTTCTTGCACCTGAAAGGGATCTGAGTTCAGTTCCCAGCACCCACAGTGGGTGGCTCACAACACCCACAGCCTATAACTCCAGTTCTAGGTGATCAAGTGCCTTCTGGCCTCCACAGGAACCTGCACTCACCTGCACGTACCCACACATAGACAACACATCAGAAAATAAAAATCTGAAAAAAATTTTTCCTAGATTTTCTGCCCATGAGCATACTTACATAATTCTGGAAATAAATTTAAGTACATTTTAACAAAGAGGAATTATCTTTGTTATCTTTTTAAAATAGTTTTTTGAGATTTTCGTATGATGTGTTTTGGTCTTATTCAGACCCCCTTACTATCCCCTGCCCGATTTCATGTTCTTTATTATTAGTTTTTTAAAGACCTATCTAGTCTGATTTGGTTTCCAGTGCTTTCAGTGTGGGTCCATCCCAGGGATCCTGGTCAACCTACCCAGCATCACACCCTTAAAGAAACCTAACCTTCCCTCTCCCAGCAGCCATCAGTTACCAATTGTTCTCAGCTAGGGTGGGGGGCTTCTTATCTGCCCCCCAACCCTAGAAATTATTTTTATAGCATGCTTTGCAAAATGACTTCTGAAAGTTCGTGGTTTATTTTTACCCACAAATGTCAAAATACTTGAATCTGAGGTCACATAATTACCTTCTTAAATTGGACTCATTCAAGTTTATTTACTTCAAATGATTTGTATAAAAAGATGGCTATGAAATTGCTCCTCTCTCCTGACAATTGCTTTCCTCTAAGTAGTGGTTACCATGATTCCAGTTTATAACATATGTCTGTAAACTACACAGCACTGAACAAGTTCAATTTTCTGAAGTTATAAATATCCAAAATGTTGTTTTTGTTTGAAATGTACATTTGATACGAAGGTTTCAGAATGTTTTAATGAGATGCTACAGCCTAGTGGGTAGAAGTCTGGCACTTTGACACAGTGAAGGGCTGGAGATGATTGTTTTTTCTCCTGGTTCAGTGTCACCCTTGGGGTTTATGTGCTTTACTCAAAGAGAATTCTCCTGCTTGGGGAAGACCAGTTCTATATGAGACCCTCTCACATTATGAAAGGCTAAATGCTTGACTTACAATCCACTGACTTAACTGTTAATATCCCAAACACCCTCACAAACACCCAGAATAATATATTTTTAGAATATTTTTGTTTTATGTGTATGTGTGTATTGCCTGCATGCATGTAAGTGCACACGTGTTCTGCAGTGCAATGTCCGAGGAGGTCAGAAGAGCGCATCAGATCCGTTAGAACTGGAGTTACAGATGGTTGTTAGCCACCATGTAGGTGCTAGGAATTGAACCCCCCAGGTTCTCTGTGAGAGCAGCCAGTGCTCTTAACCGCCGAGCAGCCTATTACTTCAGCCCCCTAGAATAATTTTTTTTTCAAGAATCGGAGAACATTTCATTAGAATGTGAACACAGGATGCAGTAGCTGTACAGGAGAAAGGAGGGTCTGTGTTACCAAACAGTCATTCTTACCCAATTGGAGCTTAATCTTCCCAGAGAACTCAGACGATTGGGCATTTATCCTTTAACTCCCGTGAATATATTGTTAAAATACTTTTATTAATTCTTTCAGAATTTCACACAATGTATTTTGATCATGTTCATCATCACCATAACCCCACTCCCAGATCCATCCCTATTTCCTACCCACCCAGCTTTGTGTCCTCATTTTTTACAACTCATCGAGCTCAGTTTGTGCTGCCTGTGTATTTTTGATCATCTGGTGGTTCACTGGAGCTTAGTCTACCTACCAGGGGCCAGCCACACCTGTAAAGCAAACTGACTCTGTCCCAGCAACTTATGACTTGACAGTTGCTCCTCAGCTAGGGGTGCATTCCTGCCCGCCTGCCGCACATGTGCTGGGATTTTGTCCGACTTGAGCTGGAGCACTGCTTGTGCCTGCTGCCACATGGCTACGAGTTCACCTGTGCAAACTTCCATGTCATGTCTGGAAAACACTTTCATTGCAGTAATGTTTGACCAAATATCTCCACAGCTCTTGGCCCAGCCAAGTTGTTATACAAAACATCTGCACAGCAAAGGAAGCTATCAGCAGAGGCCACAGCAGGCAGAATGGGAAAAAATCTTCACCGACTTATACATCAGACAATAATAGTTACCAATAAACAAATGGGCCAATGAATTGAATACAACAGTTTTCAGAAAAGAACTACAAATGGCCGACAACTATTCTTAAAACTGTTCAACATCCTGAATCATCAGGGAAATGCAAATTAAAACTTTTAGCTATCTTAACACAGTCAGAATGGCTATTATCAAGAAATCTGATGCATGTTGGAGAGGATGTGGAGAAAGGGGAATGCAAATTAGTACAGCCACTATGGAAAGCAGTTTGGAGGTTCCTCAGAAAAGTAAAAATAGAAAAATAGAGCTACCAAATGACACAGCTGTCTCACTCCTGGGCACATACCCAGAGAACTCTATATCTTACTGTAGAGATATTTGTACCCCTGTGTTTATTGCTGCCCTGTTCACATATAGCAAGGCAATGGGACCAACCTTGTTGCCCACCAACAGATGAATGGATAATGAGAATCTGGTATATTCACACAAGGAATGTTATTCAGCTCTTAAGATGAATATTCAGCTCTAAAGAAAAAAAGTTAAGCAAAACAGATGGATCCAAAATTTAGATTACTAAGTGAGGTTACCCCCCCAAATGCGTATTTTCCTTCATATGTGGTCTATAAGCTATACTGTATACATATACATATTTAAACCTGCACACGTGTGGATATTCTATAATATTTAGAATTGAAAGCAAGAAAGGGTAATTTGTAAAGAAAAGGAGCAGTTTTTGTCTTTTTTTATGGTGGACGGGTGCATTCAAATTTCTGTATAGTGAAGTAGCAGGAATCATTTCTGTTATTCCTGTTATTTTTTTTAATTTAATATTTTTAAAATTTTATGTGTATACATGTATTGCCTTCATGTAGGTAAGTGCACCCGTGTCTGCAATGCCGGTGGAGTTCAGAAGAGGCTGTCGGATCCCCTGGGACTGGAGTTACGGACAGTTGTTAGCTGCCATGTGGGTGCTGGGATTCAAACCTGGGTCATCTGCAAGAACAACCAGTGTTCTTAACCGCTGAGCCATCTCTCCAGCCCCATTCCTGTTACTCTTTTACTTCATGAAATTCCAG